GGTGCTATATTACCTCGTGCTGGACCACCAGCCTTAACAGTGCAGTCCACTGCTCCCCTAAACACGCTACCAGCAGTCTATAACCAGGCTCCACATCAGCATGTACCCTGGTCTTATTCACAACAACAGCCAGTACAACCTGATGCAGCCCTGCAGCATCACTCTCCTCCCAGCATACCACCTTTGCCACAAGAGACAGCTCCTCCTCCAGGCTCAATCGCTGCACCTAGTACAGACCTAATGGAGCTATTAATAGCTACATCATATGGACTTCCTAAGCCTGCTTTACCCTACTTCACATCTGGAAGAGAGGCAGACTTTGCACTGCTCAAGATGGCTCTAGATAACCTGCTAAGCTCACATGCTCACCTCACCGAACCATTTAAATATCAAGTGTTGTTGCAGCATTTGAAGCTGCCTAGTGCTCACAAGCTAGCACAAGCCTTTATGTATGACCCGAAACCATACACATCGGCCCTACAGGCACTTCAAGATAAATACGGGCAACCCCGCCAGCTTGTGCAAAGTGAGCTAGGAGCCATCCTAAACTTACCTCCAGTTAGGTTTGGTGATCCAGATGGATTTGACAATTTTGCCCTCTCAGTACAAGCTTTAGTAGGCATGCTCCGATCGCTAGAGGGTGAAAATGGCTACGAACTCAAATGTGGCTCTCATGTTGATAGGCTACTTAACAAATTGCCCGCTAACTACAGAGACAGCTTTGTTGAGTATAGCTTGAACCGTGGCATTCTGACAACTGGGACTGGTAAGACTTATACCCTGTCAGATTTCTCCACATGGCTCCAGTTGAAATCACAAGCCAAGCGAATCGCCGCTAGAGCAGCGTACATGTGTCAAGATCAACCAAAGCTGAGGAGTCAGAAGAAACCTCAGGGTCCTTCATCCAATGTGCACTACAACACAGAGAGCCAGGCTAAAGCCACACCTCCAGATCCAGCTGGCCATATAAGATCACCTAAGCCTAAATCAGGTCCTAAACCTTACTGCCCTTATTGTGACAACAGAGGACATTACCTGAGCCTGTGTCCTAAATTCAAAGCTCTTTCAGCAGCTGAAATTGCCACATGGATCAAACACAGAAGCTGCTGGCGGTGCGGCAGGAATCATGCACCTGAGGTTTGCACTCTAAAGAAGCCCTGTAAATTATGTAAGCAACAACATCTTACTGTGCTCCATGACGTGTGCCCTCAAGAACCTAAAAAGGTGTTAATGGTCAACGCTGCTCCCAATACAGTGTACAATGACCGTCCAAATCGCCCAAATAAAATCATGCTCAAGTTGGTCAAAGTATGTCTACACAATGCTGAGTATTCCCTGGAAGGCTTTGCTATCCTCGATGACGGGTCCGAGAGGACTCTTATCCTCCCATCAGCAGTGCGACGCCTCCATCTGACTAAAAAGCCTGAAAACCTTCCCCTGCGCACTGTCCGCCATGAGGTGATTCACCTTCAGGGAGCAACAGTTTCATTTGAAATATCTCCAGTTCACACTCCCAAAGTAAAGTACAGCATTCACCATGCCTTCACTGCTGATGAACTAAGTCTCTCAGAACACAGCTACCCTGTAAAGTCACTCATGCGAAAGTACTCCCATCTGGGAGGACTTCCACTTCCACTTGTGGACAGAGTGCAGCCTTTACTTCTTATTGGGTCTGATTTCCCTCATCTACTCATCCCTAAGCAACCAGTAATAGCTGGCCCACCTGGGAGCCCCCTAGCAGTGTGCACTCCTCTTGGTTGGACATTACAAGGCCCAGCCAACTTCAGTCCTGTTTCTGCTGACCACCCACACTGCTACTTCACCACGTCTCCCAACTCAGAGCTCCAGCGCCATGTAGAACGTCTGTGGGAAGTTGACATCTCGCCTTATTTGAACATAAAGACTGCCACGCGTTCTAAAGAGGATCAACAGGCTGTGGACCTGTTAGAGCAACGCACCACTAAAGTGGAAGTGGATGGAGTGACTAGATATGCTACTCCACTTCTCAGGCGCAAGGATAGTCCCCTCCTCTGGGCATCAAAGAACACTTTGCTCCCACAGCTACGTAGTACTGAACGTCGTCTAGCTAAAGATCCAGCTCTGGCAGATACCTACTGTCAAGAAATCCATAAACTTGAACAGTTAGGTTATGCCAAACCCCTTCCTTCAGCTACAGTAGACAGCTCCCAGGAGTCATGGTATCTGCCTCACCATGTTGTCCACCATAATGGAAAGGCAAGAATTGTCTACAACTGTTCCTACCAACACAATGGACACTGTCTAAACAGCCAGCTCCTGCCCGGGCCGACCCTAGGTCCTTCACTTCTCGGCGTACTTCTTTGGTTCCGAGAACACAGTGTGGCTGTCAGCGGTGACATCAAAGCAATGTTCCACCAAGTTCGCTTACTACCAGAAGACAAACCGTTGCTCCGTTTCTTGTGGAGAGGTATGAAGAGAGAGGAGGAACCGACTGTATATGAGTGGCAGGTTCTGCCATTTGGAACAACGTGCAGTCCTTGCTGTGCAACATATGCCCTCCAGAGGCATGTGAAGGACAACAGTAAGGGGCATGAAGACATCCTGCATACAGTTGAAAGCGCATTTTATGTGGACAACTGTCTAACAAGCATCACCACTGCTGATAAAGCTAAAGCCCTAGTTGACCGACTGCGCAGTCTGCTCTCTGCTGGAGGGTTCGATATAAGGCAGTGGGCCAGCAACGATCCAACTGTTTTGGAACACCTTCCTGCTGAAGCCAAAGCGGCTAGTTCCGAGCTGTGGCTTTCCCAATCCCGACAAGACCCAGAGGAACCAGCTTTAGGCCTACGTTGGAACTGCCTCTCTGATCAACTCGGCTACAGACACCGACCGGTAGAGTATTCTCAGCCGACCCTGAGAAACATCTACAAGGTGATGGCCACGCAGTATGACCCACTGGGGTATCTTATCCCATTCACCACTCGAGCCAAGATCCTCATCCAGGACCTGTGGAAAGTGGGAGTCGACTGGGATGAGCAGATTCGACCCAAGGCTCTACTGGAAATATGGACACAATGGGAGAGTGAGCTGGTCTACCTCCCACAAGTGGAAATCCCAAGATGCTATGTTCCAGCAACCTTGGCCCCTGAAGTGCCTAACAGACAAGCGCACATCTTCTGCGATGCCTCCGAAAGAGCCTACGGAGCAGTCGAGTATATTCAAACTCCCGATAACCAGGGCAATGTTCACGTTGCATTTATGATGGCTAGATCTCGTGTTTGCCCTCGGAAACAGCTGTCAATGCCACGCCTTGAATTGTGCGCAGCTCTAGCCGGGGCTCAGCTGGCTAAGGTCACAATGACAGAGCTGTCATTCTCTCCCCAGCAGATAACACTATGGACCGACTCAACTACAGTGTTGACATGGCTGAAATCAGACTCAAGTCGATACAAGGTTTTAGTTGGAACGAGGGTCGCTGAAATTCAAGAACTTACCGAAGGGTCAACTTGGCGGTATGTCAGCACCTCTGATAATCCAGCAGATTACCTTACCCGCGGGAAGACACTCCGTGAGCTCAGCCAGCCCAACCGGTGGAGTCAGGGTCCACAATTTCTTCACCAGCCTATTGACACCTGGCCAGAGCTACAAATGGAAGTAGCTCAGGAAGAAGATGAGGATGAGTTACGCAAGACAGTGTTTTGTGCAGCAGCTACCTGTCCTTGGGGTACCAAGTCAGCTACCTGTCAGCCGTGAGGTGTGGTATAATGCCAGGCTAATTGGCAGCATGGTTTAGTAGTGTGGTACTTGCAACAGCAGTACCTTGGTTTGACCACCAGAGGTCCCTGGAGATCATATAATTTGTCAGTGCCTCTGAGGCTGGAAGTCACAATATTTACTCTGTGTAACCCTTGAATGTGCATCATTTGGGAATATATTTGTTTTTGCTTAGTCTTAAACGTTGGCATATTTACTTCACCATTTATACAGTCCTTTTACATCATTCTTTGTATTTATTTTCCAGACCACACGGAACCACAGAAATGTACAGATGTCCATACTTCAACTGTCATTAAATACGTAAAACTGTCTCTCCGTGCCCTGCTCTCTGACCGGAGCCCTTATCTTGAAGATACTGTCAGATCAGCAAATAACTTCCAGAGTTCCCACTCTATCACAACTGGAGGGCAAGATATTCTGCCCGTGCTCCCACTGAAACGTACAATACAAGTATAAAGATGTGTAGTGTATTTTGTCCGAGTGGGTTTGCCGTACTTTGACGTCATCGGCAGTCGAAGGACCCAGAGCCGATCTTGCACCCGAGCAGATCCTGTACCGACAACGGGACATAGAGGGCACCACGGCCAGCAGCGACGACTCCCCAGACGTTCACCGTCTGGCGATCTCCAGGCCGGAGGATTCAACCGCCGCCAACGACGTTAGATCCCGGGGCGTTGGGACGGCGCTGGAGCTTTGACCCCGGGAGAGGGTCGCAACGGACTTACTAGTTAAGTGTGCTGCTTATTTTATATGGGGGTGTTTTAGCGGGGAGGGAGTTTAATTGGTGCTTGTTGCAGAGTGATAATTGTGTGTATTTAAAAATAAAGAATCGCTTTTGTGCACTCGTGTCTGGTGGTTATTGGAAGGTTCTGACAAGCGGTCCCACAGTAATATTCCACTATTCTATTCTTTCCCATTACTATTCTGACTGCATTGGGGATACAAAAAGCGAGTGGATTGAAAATAACAGTTTAAACAATATATAATTAAGTGAATGACAAAAACAGATTTAGAAGGAAACAGCGTCTGTGTTTTCAGCACGACTGTAGTAGGGTTTTACGATATTATTATTATTTATTATTATGAAGCCTGGTGGTGATTTTGAGCACCGTTTTCTGAGGCTAGAAGAGTCCGTTTATCACCGCCGCCATCATCGGTGCAGCTGGATGGAACAGCTGAATGGCATCAGCAGCAGTTAATCCCGGCCCGGAAGGTTCGGTTCCGTTTGAGGCCCATAAACTCACCAGGAGTTGACTCCACAAGACCCCCTCCGCCCTCCTCGCACCCCACCGGGCCGTCGTAGTCCAGCATCCCGGCGTCCCTCTGATGACCGCGGGCAATGATAGACTCGATGAGCTCCAGCTTCCTCCGCAGCGCCTCGTTCTCCTTGTGGCTGCGGGAAAGCTCCAGCTGTAGCACGGCGTAGCCATCGTCCACCAGCCCGCAGATCTCCGCCACCGCCGCTTTGGTGAGCGCCTCCATGATGGACGTCAACTGAGAGTGAAACGCATTCAAAGTCGTCATTCTGACGAAAACCGCGAATTTCAACCACAAATACTTGGACGAAGAAACGGCGTCTGGTGAGCTTTTCCGTTAAACCGGGCAGCAGAACACTTGCCGAGGGGAAACGGGTGAAAGCTGCCGTTGTTTATGGAGTTCATCGATTAACTCTTCCTCTTCCGTAACTTCCGTTCAACCACCTTCAAAATAAGAGGGACCAGTTGAAGGAGGCGATGCGTTCAGGTTCCGTTTGTAAATACCCAGGTTTTATTTTAAAACGATTTTAAAAAGTAAAACCACAAAAGCAGCCAGCGTCAACAACATCAACTTCTGACATGTCAACGGTTTATATATATATATATATATATATATATATATATATATATATATATATATATATATATATATATATATATATATATATATATATATAAGCATTTTTTTCTACAACTTTACCCACAATTCAGACGATGAATATGAAAGTTCATTTACGAAAGATAACAGTTTAAAATAGAACAAGTACGTCATCTGAACGTTTTTCCATCGTTCTGGTAGAGATCAGTTCAATAACTCTTATTTATCCAACAGGCCGCAAACTCAACAGAACACCGGTTTCCAAAGCAACGGGACAACAGGCTCGGGGAAGATGGTTTTCAGTAAGTAACGACAGAATTAAACAGAAAAATAGATTAAAGGTCGTCCGAATATCGTTGTATGTCTACTTTTAGCATTTAAACTTGATTTATTAGCTTTTATCTACTACTTGTAGCTTATTGAGCTTTTAAATTCAGTGTTTTAAATTGTAAACCAACCGTTTGTGACAGCTAGCTTAACCGTAAAAGTTCAAGCTACTTTAGAAACATAATTAGCAATACCTTCCTAGTTACTAATAACTATGGAACTCAACAGTATTCAAAATTCAATAAATAAATAAGAAATTATGAAATAAATATCTACATGTAATCTGACAATGAAATGATGAAATAACTGAATGTTATGTAAAATCTAAGCTCAATATTATGAAATATTTTCATTCTTCTTTTAAAATGTCTTAATAAGGTTTTTTTCAAAAGTCATTTTTTCATAATAATCCAAATTAATATTGAGCCATTTTTATTTAATTTGTCCAGTTTTTATTACATAACGTCTTTTTAACAAAGACAGCTTTTATTTCATAATGGTGTTTTTTCCCATGGCTGATTTATTTCATAATGAGACTACGGCAGAATGTCTCAGTCCGCTTCTCCGCCAGCTCCGCAAGGGACAGACACGCACGGATTGACGGAAGCGTTTTGCTCTCATACTTCTCCGTCTCCTGGAGAGTGTTGCAAAGCAATTGCCCGGCAGGACAACAGAGGGCGTAGCGCTGTTCTGTGGTATCCTGTCATGTATCGGTCCAAGATAGTGTTTATATTGTGTTTTTTTTGTACATAAGAGACTTTTTAACACAGACAAATTTGTCTCTCATTCTTCTCCACCTCTTCATGCGCTCGCCACCTCTAAACCCACGTTTCCTGTCATTTCCGTCCACAAATAAAACGCTTGCTGCACATCTTTTCACTCCTCCAGTCACGGGAGAATTAAATATTCATGTTTTTAGAGTTTTTTTTCGCAAGGTATTCTTCAAGCTTCTCCGTGTCTGCCGCTTGTTATCCTCGGCTCTGTTTATGTTTTTGAGGGCGCAATGGCAGCACTGTAAACAACAGCGGTGTCCTGACCAATCACAAACTTGCGTTGTCCGTCTCGAGAGAGCTCTCCGTCCTTCCTTACCAAATTCTAAATCAAAAACACTGAATTCTAAATCAAAAACACTGAATTCTAAATAAAAAACACTGAATTCTAAATAAAAACTGCTGAAATCTAAATAAAAACACTGAAATCTAAATAAAAACACTGAATTCTAAATAAAAACACTAAATTCTAAATAAAAACACTGAATTGTAAATAAAAACACTGAATTCTAAATTAAAAAAACACAATTCTAAAAAATGCACCAAATTCTAAATAAAAAACACTGAATTCTAAATAAAAAAACACTGAACTCTAAATAAAAAACACTGAATTCTAAATAAAAACTACTGAATTCTAAATAAAAAACACTGAATTCTAAATAAAAAAACACAATTCTAAAAAGTGCACCAAATTCTAAATAAAAAACACTGAATTCTAAATAAAAAAACACTGAACTCTAAATAAAAACTACTGAATTCTAAATAAAAACACTGAATTCTAAATAAAAAACACTGAATTCTAAATAAAAAACACAGAATTCTAAATAAAAAAAACACTGAATTCTAAATAAAAAAAACACCGAATTCTAAATTGAAAAGCAGCGAATTCTAAATAAAAAACACTGAATTCTAAATAAAAAAAACACTGAATTCAAAATAAAAAACACTGAATTCAAAATTAAAAACACTGAATTTTACATAAAAACACTGAATTCTAAATAAAAAACACTGAATTCTAAATAAAAACACAGAATTCTAAACAAAAAACACTGAATTCTAAAAAAACCCACTTATTTCTAAAAAAAACACTGAATTGTAAAACAAAACACTGAATTCTAAATAAAAAACACTAAATTCTAAATAAAAACACTGAATTCTAAATAAAAGCACCAAGTTCTAAATAAAAAACACTGAATTCTAGATAAAAAGCACCAAATTCTAACCCCCCCCCACTGAATTCTAAATAAAAAAAACACTGAATTCTAAAAAAAAACCCCACTGAATTCTAAAAAAACACTGAATTCTAAATAAAAACACTGAATTCTAAATAAAAAACACTAAATTCTAAATAAAAACACTGAATTCTAAGTAAAAACACTGAATTCTAAATAAAAAACACTGAAATCTAAATAAAAAACACCGCTTTCTAAATAAAAAACACCAAATTCTAAATAAGAAACACTGAATTCTAAATAAGAAACACTGAATTGTAAATAAGAAACACTAAATTCTAAATAAAAAACACTGAATTCTAAATAAAAAAAGACTGAAATCTAAAAAAACCACTGAATTCTAAATAACAATTGAAGTGTTTTTTTATTTAGAATTCAGTGTTTTTTATTTAGAATTCAGTTAAAAAAACACAATTCTAAAAAAACATCAAATTCCAAAAAATAACACTGAATTCTAAAAAAAGTTCCAAATTCTAAATAAATACACTGAATTCTAAATAAAAAAAACCCACTGAATTCTAAATAAAAAGCACCAAATTCTAACCCCCCCCCCCCCACTGAATTCTAAATAAAAAAACCACTGAATTCTAAATAAAAATACCAAAATCTAAATAAAAAACACTGAATTCTAAATAAGAAAACACCGAATTCTAAATAAAAAGCACCAAATTCTAAAAAACCCCAACTAAATTCTAAACAAAAAACATTGAATTCTAAATAAAAAACACTGAATTCTAAATAAGAAAACACTGAATTCTAAATAAAAAACATCATTCTAAAAAAACCCCCCACTGAATTCTAAATATAAAACACTGAATTCTAATAAAAAAAACACTAATTCTAGTAACAAAAACCCGAATTCTAAGTAAAAACACTAAATTCTAAATAAAAAGCACAAAATTCTAAATAAAAAACACTTAATTCAAAATAAATAAACTCTGAATTCTAAATGAAAACACAGCATTCTAAATAAATAAACACTGAATTCTAAATAAAAACACTGAATTCTAAATGAAAAACGCAGAATTCTAAATAAAAAACGCTGAATTCTAAATAAGAAACACTGAATTCTAAATAAGAAACACTGAATTCTAAATAAAAAACACAGAATTCTATATAACAATTGTAGTGTTTTTATTTAGAATTTAGTGTTTTTTTTATTTAGAATTCAGTTAAAAAACACAATTCTAAAAAAAAACACCAAATTCCAAAAAAATAACACTGAATTCTAAAAAAAGTTCCAAATTCTAAATAAATACACTGAATTCTAAATAAAAAAAACACTGAATTCTAGATAAAAAGCACCAAATTCTAACCCCCCCACTGAATTCTAAATAAAAAAACACTGAATTCTAAATAAAAAACACCGAATTCTAAATAAAAACACCAAATTCTAACCCCCCCCCCACTGAATTCTAAACAAAAAACACTGAATTCTAAATAAAAAACATCATTCTAAAAAATCCCTCACTGAATTCTAAATATAAAACACTGAATTCTAAATAAAAACACCGAATTCTAAACAAAAAACACTGAATTCTAAAAAAACCCACTGATTTCTAAAAAAACACTGAATTCTAAAACAAAACACTGAATTCTAAATAAAAAACACTAAATTCTAAATAAATACACTGAATTCTAAATAAAAGCACCAAGTTCTAAATAAAAAACACTGAATTCTAGATAAAAAGCACCAAATACTAACCCCCCCCACTGAATTCTAAATAAAAAAACACTGAATTCTAAATAAATACACTGAATTCTAAATAAAAAAACACTAAATTCTAAATAAAAACCACTGAATTCTAAATAAAAACACTGAATTCTAAATAAAAAAACACTGAAATCTAAATGAAAAACACTGCTTTCTAAATAAGAAACACTGAATTCTAAATAAGAAACACTGAATTCTAAATAAGAAACACTGAATTCTAAATAAGAAACACTGAATTCTAAATAAAAAACACTGAATTCTAAATAAAAAAGGACTGAAATCTAAAAAAAAACACTGAATTCTAAATAACAATTGAAGTGTTTTTTATTTAGAATTCAGTGTTTTTTATTTAGAATTCGGTTAAAAAAACACAATTCTAAAAAAAACACCAAATTCCAAAAAAAAAAAAAAACACTGAATTCTAAAAAAAAGTTCCAAATTCTAAATAAATACACTGAATTCTAAATAAAAAAAACCACTGAATTATAGATAAAAAGCACCAAATTCTAACCCCCCCACTGAATTCTAAATAAAAAAACACTGAATTCTAAATAAAAATTCCAAAATCTAAATAAAAAACACTGAATTCTAAATAAGAAAACACCGAATTCTAAATAAAAAGCACCAAATTCTAACCCCCCCCCCACTAAATTCTAAACAAAAAACATTGAACTCTAAATAAAAAACACTGAATTCTAAATAAGAAAACACTGAATTCTAAATAAAAAACATCATTCTAAAAAAAACCCCCACTGAATTCTAAATATAAAACACTGAATTCTAATAAAAAAACACAAATTCTAATAACAAAAACCTGAATTCTAAATAAAAACACTAAATTCTAAATAAAAAGCACAAAATTCTAAATAAAAAACACTTAATTCAAAATAAATAAACTCTGAATTCTAAATGAAAACACAGCATTCTAAATAAATAAACACTGAATTCTCAATAAAAAACACTGAATTCTAAATGAAAAACGCAGAACTCTAAATAAAAAACGCTGAATTCTAAATAACAAACACTGAATTCTAAATAAGAAACACTGAATTCTAAATAAAAAACACTGAATTCTAAATAAAAAAAGACTGAAATCTAAATAAAAAACACTGAATTCTAAATAACAATTGTAGTGTTTTTATTTTGAATTCAGTGTTTTTTTATTTAGAATTCAGTTAAAAAACACAATTCTAAAAAAAACACCAAATTCCAAAAAAATAACACTGAATTCTAAAAAAAGTTCCAAATTCTAAATAAAT